TGACGGCATGGGGGGGGGGGGGGGTGGTTGGAAGTCTTTTGGGGGTGTGGAGGGGGGTATCTTATTAGGGTTGATTTGAATGTTTTTATCTTTTTTGGTCTTTGATGGCTGGTTGATTTTCATGTTGAGTTTCCTTAGTTTGATTTGGCCAGTGTGGAGGTTTTGTTTGTTGAGGGGGGGGGGGGGGGGGTGCGCTTGGAAGTTTTAGCAGTAGAGGGGGGAGGGGGGGGGGGGGGGTGGCTGGAAAGTCTTAGCAGTGAGGTGTGACTCAGCCCACCTTTGTAAAGCTTCTCTGGTACACCCCCCCCCCCCCCCCCCCCCCCCCCCCCCCCCCCCCCCCCCCCGTAAAGAGTTCTGACCCCCCCCTGCCCTTGTTGCAGGGAAACCGTCAAACCCTTGACATGGTTTATAAACTGTCTTGAAAGTTTATAAACTCTTTGCTGTTGTTACTCAACATGACTTGTCACCCACAAACAAATATGCAGCAACAGCACACTTCTTGCGTATATATGCTCACACCCCCTGTCTTTAAAAATAAGAGGGTTTTGTACATTTTGAAGTGGAAAGGTAGGCCCTGGGGGGGGGGTGGGAGAGTGGGGGGGGGGGGTATATGAGCATATATATGATATATATATGTGTATATATATATATGTGTAAGTGTTAATTGCATTTATTTGTGTAAGTGTGTATACATAATATGATATTAGTATTTCCCCCCAGGTTTTGGCCACGACCCCCCGCTCGAAGCAGCAACGACCCGCTCGAGCTGAGGGATTCAGCTGCGAATTCGCGAAGAGCTCCGGCCCGAGGGCCCGCGCAAGGAGGTGCTCGAGGCTTTGGTGAAGGAGTTTCAGGCCGGCGCAAGCTTTTTTGGAACACGGGGCCCTATGTTTTTTTCTTTTTCGTTTTTCAGGGCACATGTGTTGGTGTTTTTCTGCAAAAAGCCAAGCATTTTATGAGGGGGTCACTTACTTTAAGACACATCCATATGCTAAAGCAAGTGGGTGTGATTTGTGGGAGTGTACCCTAATCAGGTTGGATAGGCAAACCAAAAGGAAACCCACAATCTTGGGGAACCCCCCCCCCCCCATTTTGACACATGCCCTTCTGCGCACCCTGGGTGATTGAAACATCACTTTTTCAGCCCTTCGAGCTTCGTCAAAAAACTGCCAGAACTTGTTCACATCCATCCCGGCGGCCGATTTCGCGGATGATGTGAAGTAGAAAACAACATGGATATATCCCCGCCGGGCAATGTCACTGCTGTGACTTGCGCCTCGGGAGATAGACGAATCAAATCTCTTGGGATGAGCAAGTGCTGTAAGATAGCTCTTTGAATGCTGCATGTTTAGTTTGTAGAAGTTAGTGACAGCGGCCTGTTTGATTAAAGTTTGATTAAAGCCGATGAAGGGATTGGTTGATTCCACCCCCTTGAATCCAAAAGAGTTCCATGTCCTTTCGGGCCGAGTCTCGGCGCAAGTTTCGGCTCCAGTTCTCTGCGATTCTAGAGTTAGAGATTACTTGGGCTAAGCCACCCCAAAGAGGGGAAGGGCTCAAAGAGCTAGGCAGAGTTGCACCTGGAAGGCCCGGATGGTTGAATCTTGTTGCGAGCCCAGGTTGATTGGCCGCTTGTAGGGTTCCACTAGCCCTTTAGGTGTTGGGTAAAGCAGCCTTGCAAGAACAAAGCGCATTTTTGGAGGAGCATCCTTAAGTTATTGAGTGGGGTCTCTAGACAAGATGTGGACCCGACTCTGAACATGCCATTTTTTAGCGCACACCCCAAGTCAAGGATACTCCAACACATTCATGTTCTTTCAAGGGAGACGAAAGATCGACCATAATCTGGACCAAGTCTGGAACCTTTCAAGCCGGCAGGGCTACTTGGAGGGCGAGGGTGGCCCTCAGGAGCCATTGCCAGAGGCGGGCCACCGGCAAATGAGTTCGGCCAGCCCAAAAAATATTTGGTGCATTTTGCCAAGGGATGTTAGGACTTTGAGTTTTTGCCAACAAATTGGTTTTCCGCATTAAACCACCAAACATTAAACTTTTTTGCAGGGGAGCAGAAAGCAACCGAGAAGTGGGGACCGCCTTCGAACGGATCAAGACAGAACGCCGTCGAGCTGGTTTTCTGGTATGTTTGCCAGGACTCTTGGGATTCGGCAGAAGGCAACCTTCTCATGGAAGTGACCCCGGGATGTCTGTTGATAGGTCCATTCTTCCAGCTGGGGTCTCTTTCCAAAACTTGGATACTATTGGGTGAAACTAAGGATGATCTGGTCCCGCCGTCAAATCACATTGCCGGCGCGGCAGCTAAAAAGCGCCCAGGTGGCAAAGAGTGAGCCAGCCAAAAGTGAGCCGGAAATCCCAGAATGAGCTGCTAGCTTGAGCAGCAGCCCGGCGCAGTTCCTGCAGCCTTGGGGTATGATTGGTATGTATTGCGCGCCAAGCATGGCTTATTTCATGGTTGTCGTTGGGAAACGTTTTGCCCATTTTTGCTCCTTGTGGTTTAGTGGTTGAAATCCCCGCTTGGCTGCTAAAATTCATTTTCTTGCTCCCCTTCCAACGTCAACCAATATGGTTTCCTCTACTTGAAGCAGGTGTTCTTTTCTCAACAGTGGTAGATAGATCGAAGGGCTGGTTGTGGCGAATGTCTTGTGAAGAGGAGGCAGGGTGCGGAGGCAAGTCTCAATCGTTGAGGGCGTCCATTGCTAAGGCTTCATGTCAGTTGTATTGCGACGCAGGTCAGAGGCCCCGGTCCCCCGACTTTTGCCAGCATTCCCTATACCCTCCCACCAATTAACATGGAACCTGACAGGGGTCGCTTTGAAAAGAACATGGTCTTCCAGGAACCCCCCCCACCCTGTCAGGTTCCATGTAAATTAAACGGCTTTAATTGTCACCTTTCGGTCTCCAATTTTAAGGTGCGTGTCCTTTGGGCGACGTTCAAAGCAGAATGAAACCTTGCTTGCACAAATGGCACTCCCACTTGAGAAAGGGGAGACCTTTTTGGTTGCGAGGCTCCGCTCGCGTATTGTTTTGCCGCGGGCAGAATAAAATCGGAAGAAATTCGGCAAAATCTGAACAGATTCGGCAAACATATTTGGCCAAATTATGTTAATACTTTTATTTGCCACTCTTTGCCACAAAAAAACTGAACATATTTGTTCAGTGAGTTCAGTGTACCCAAGATGTGGGCCAAGCGACTGGACGCCAAACAAGAGCGTACATCCACAACACGGGGCACTGAGAGAAGTCGCGGGTAATTCCATAGATGCTTTGCCAGGAGTAAGGTCTCCCATTTATCTAAGGGTTGATTCCCCATTCTTTTCAACCATCGTTCTTTTCAAAACCGGCTGTTTCCTCTGGGTTTTTGATGGTTTCCTGAAAGAATAATGGGAAAAGAATGGGGAAGGTACCCCTAGAATTCATGGCAGCTTCAGGGTCTTTGGGCAGGGCTCCCGTATTTCCCTTGCAGTGACGGCGGTATTATGTTTTGTTGTGGGTGCTCAATAGCAACGTTTTTTTCCAGTTTGCAATGCGTGATTGTTTTTCATTTTCCAGACTCCGTAGTTTTAGGTTTATGGTTATGAAATCTAGTGTTCATCTATTGTCCTATTTGTTCAGACCAGCCCAGCGTTTGCAGCGTTGGAAGCAAAACCCACCCCGTAAGCCCGGGGACATATGGCTGTCATTGGAGTGTGTGGCCTGGAAGGAGTACTCCAGCTAAAATTCCAGGAGTGCAGTCTGATTGAATGGATCGATTTGTTCCACTGATTTGTTGGAGGCACTGGGAGAATTTAATGTACACCTACGATATGTAAACTGCCCCTAAATAAAGCTGAGCCTTTTTTTCAATAATACACTACCCCTAAATAAATCTATAGAAAACATTTAAAAAACACCATGCCCAATACTACTTTAGAATTGGGCCTTTAGAATTGGCCCAATTCTAAAGTAGTATTCGAAAACCAAAAAAAACAGAGCCCAATACTAAACACATTCTAGACTTTTTCTGACCCTGTCCCCTTCACTGTATTTAGGGTCATTCAGGCGGGGCCTCTATTCATAATTCAATTGATTCAGATCATGTTTTTGGTGGGAAATAGGTAAACACATAGTTCGACACTATCGAAGATGAGCGTCGACTGTCAAATTCGTTCATCGTGTGATCTGCGCATTGCGCGGCCACGATCTCAAAGTGCGGAGCAAAGGGGAAAAGCTGCCACGGTGTGCTGGCACAACAGCCCCACTCCCCACACGGAACCAAACGAAAGGCACAGAGCTTACTGCTGGGGTATAGAATTGTCGTAGTGCTTACTGCTTATGCTTACCATGGGGCTGGGTAGTGGTTTTGTTCTGGAGATCCTCTATGAAAAACCTGGAGCGACATGGCTTTTTGGGCCATAAGCAGTGCAAGCTTTGCGGTGTCAGCAGGGAGCTTGCTCAAATGTGAAATGGTCGCAATGTTCGAAGCATGTCCTTCTTGAGCTCTGCAATGACGTGAGGACGACTGGGTGTTATTACATAGCACCAAATTCGAGGAAACCGCTAAAACAAGTCAGATTTGCGCCCCCTCAGTCAAGCAGTTTCTAATTGAGGCTTCCAGCCGCCCTAGTTCTGGTTTGCATTGTTAGGCGGCATTGCTTTGAAAAGCGACGGGGAGACCCTCTTTCATCTTGCATGCGGTCGCAAACTGTTCTTTGTTTGAAGGATTGCAGTATCCCAAAGGACATCAAACACGTATACGTAGAGGAAGAGGGTTTGTTTACTTCTTGTAATCAAGGCTCTCTGTTAAGTAAGGACTTGCAAAGGTATGATTTGAGGATTCTGCACTCACGACTCTTATAAAGGATGCCTCCTGAAAAAGGAGTCTGTTCAAAGAGTGACGGCAGTCTAGCTTAGCCAAGCAAGCTTCTTAGGTGGGGATTGTTCGAAGTAGCCAAGCAGCAGCAACAGGTATGGGTGCTTATTTGGGTAAAGGTAGTTGGCACAATTGTCGCGTTGGTTTTGTCATCCCATTTGTTTGCCCACATGGTGCCATCGACGTTCACTTTGGGTAGAACTTTATCAGGCAGCGCTTGCAGCGGCTTCTGGCTTTTTCTGAGATTGGCATGGTGCCAGCCCCGGATCCACCTCCGCCCGTGGCGGAGCCAGCGCCGCGCCGCGCCTCCATCCACTCTGCAAACTCGTCGGACTCCGCAGATGCGGTCGTGGTGACCAGACTCAAATCCAGGGGTTGACCTGGGGAGAGGAATTTGGGGCCAGAAGCTAGAAAGGGTTGCAGAACGTCGAAAGCAGGTTTCGGGGTGCTGCAGGTCACAGGCTTAGAAAGGTTGCCGGAAATCACCGCTGGCAGGTTGCGCTTGAAAGCCTTGGCAGCTCGGGCGCCGAGCCTCCACCAAACGATCCCACCGAGACGCTTGTGCAGTGGATGGCCAAAATCGAGCTCCTGAACCCCGAGCACCGGCGTGCCGTCACCGCGGGCTGCGCCCTGCAGTGGTTTGCACGACCCTGGCGCATCAGGGAGCTGGGGGAAAAACAAGATCGGGGCGAAGGGGGGTGAGCCTTGGGGCCACGCAAAGTTGTCCAAGCCCAACCAGCACTCGCTTGTTCGGAATGTCCCCAAATTTCTCCTGTATCCCGAAGCGGGACCAGCCGTGTTTCCGTTTGGCGGGGATATCCGACCCTCATAGCTTCTTCTCATTTGTAAGGGAGCATGTCATTACGCACTCAAAATTCTCAGATGACCCACTTCACCAATTGGCATCACCCCGCAAAACGCCCCGGCTGAGCAAAAAAAAATGGGCATTAGACTTATGCAGCTTGCAGCCTATCAGAACGGTTTCCGGCCCGGCGCTGGAGCTGTCAACTTGGGTGTCAGGAGCAGTGCTATCACTACAGCTTCCAGACGCGCCAGATCCATGACTTCTGGTCTCACAGTTGGAGGACCTCTGTGTGGCAGAAGGCCGCCCTAGATCTGCTTCGGACAGAAAGCCTCTTCCAAACCTTTGGGCACCGGTTTGGGACGTGTGCCATTGTTTTCCTGGGTACGCTGTTTCCTTGGTTTGGACTTGCCAATCCATCCAAGTGAGTTCCCAAGCTTGCACAGTTCCCAAATGCGTTCATTGCCTATCCCAACTCTTCTGTTCAGGCGGGGCTGCTTCTGATTTGGTACAACGGTGTGGCGGCCTTCCTGATCAGCGCCCCAGACACCTGGTGTCGCCCTTTTTTCCAACTCTTCAGGCTGCGTTTTGTTTCTCCTTATGTTAAAAGCCAAGAAACGGTACTTAACCCCTCTCCCCTCCAATCCATCCCCAAATTAGCTGGGTATGGGTCAAATTTAAATCACCAGAAAACCACAGGTTTTAGTCCAGCTTTCCATTTACCAGGGCGCCATTTGCGGTACCTATTTTTGACCCACGGCCAGCTTAAGAAATCAACCATCCGTTTTCTTTTGCGATGTGAGGCACTTTGGGCGTTTTCCTCGTACTTGTGCTCGCGTGCTTGGGCCTCACCCCGGCCTACTCGAAGCAGCCCTGGCTCGGACCACCACTCACCATCGGCCCTTGGCGCCGCGGAGGTGTCTTTTTTGTTGGTAAAGGGTCACTCCATTTTCTTTTAAGCAGTCGCCCCAAAGTAGCTCGTCCAGCAGCTGTTGAACAAAACACCTGTCCCAAACAGTCCAAAGTTGCACATCACCTTCAAAGGCCGATCGTCTTGGAAAGCTGAGCGTCAGAAGCTCGTTTCCTTGCCAGACTCAGGTTAGCTCTTTCACGTTTCGGGTTTCCTTCATGTGTATGTTTCGACCAGCAACAAAAATAAATTGCAGGTCGTCTAAGTCTGGCCCAGTCCTTTTCACGGCCAACAAAAGCCTTATATGTCTCACGGCTTTCTCGCAAAAGGGAACCCCAAGAATGGCTTTGGTTTCCGTTTGGTTTCCCATTGCAACCAAGCAAAGGTTGTTTCACAGAAAGCCCACCCAGAAAATGGCTGGCTTCCTTGGTTTCATTAGCAACCATGCAGTGCATGATGATTGCATTGGATTAAAATATCAACAGGAAATTGCACGGAGTTGCTTCATTGCGTTACGTGACTCTACTAAAGTTACAATTAATGTTGACCCAGGATTAATAAATCCGTCCCATTATAAAAGTGATGAATCCCCACTACAAGGGGACACCCCCAGAAGAGTCAACCAGGGGTCTATTAATCCGCGGTTAGCATTACACCCCTCGCAATTACAGTATGATTGCATTTCGTCACGCCACATTACACCGCGTGGGTTTGTGTGACGCACAGGCCAGTCACGGCCTCGCATCGCATTACACTACGTTACGCTAGTTTAGGTTGCACCAACGCGCTAGATTACAGGCATTGGGTCAAAACCAATGGATCCCATTTTGGGGTAGGTGCTCCACCCATTTTAGTCGATTTTAGTGGGATGTTCACTGGGGGTACGGGATTTTGACCCATGGCCACATTGCGTTTCAGCACTTTACATCACGGTACAGTACATTCGTACTTGCCACAAGCCGACCTTTTGACCTTTTTGGTTGCCCCATTTGATTCGATTTTAGTCAGGGGCCTAAAAGATTGACCTGTTATTTGTGGGTCCTTTACGCAACTGAGCGTTACGCACATGCCTTGCATGTTAGCACGTGATGTAGAATGCGCGCTCAAGGTGTTTATCAATGTCTGGCTTTGTGATAGTGCAATGGCGGATAATGTAGTGGATAAGGTGTAAGAATGTACTGCAGCTAATGTCACACAACCTTTAATGTAGTGTGGCGACCCGTGTCGTAGTGCGTGCCATGCAATGCGGGTCAGCTTGAGACGTATATTAGATCAGGATTTCCGATGTGCGCAGAATACCTTGGCAAGGAAGTCATGCTGTGGGCTTCTTGCATGCGGCTTGCGGGCAGTTGTGACAAAGCATGCAGCTCGAGGCGCAACTAGCGTGCCGCATGTGCAGCTGTGCTGAGCGGCGCTTGATGAGCGCCCGTCAGTGTTTTTTGTGTGTGCCGGCTATGTCCTAGCGCTTGTTGCGCCCTTGAACGGTCAATGAGGCATTCTGTGGCCGCTCTCTTCTGCAAAAATAAGCCATGTTGGCACGCTACCTGATTTGTTCAAGGCTCCTTGGCATGCCCAGGAGTATGCGAAGAGTAAAGCACCAATGGTTGTTAGTGACGGGCTGGCGAATCAAGGTGCTCCCTAACCGGGCCTTTGCTCTATAGCCTGGCTTTCACTTTGTGGAGGTCCCGGCGCAGAGTTTGGCTGGACTGGATTTGCATACATCAGACAGACATGAAGCTACAAGAGTGCGGCCTTCTGAGCCTTGGGGGGAACATCGGGAATGCCAAGTCCATGCTGATCCTATGGGACGAGACATGGATTGAAAGACTTTGGTGTATTTTCGAGCTGGCCACCTTTTTGAGGAGTCACCCAGACGCCACAAAGAACCTGATCATATTGCCCATCTTCTTTTGGCCCTTCTGCGTTGCGAACTTTTGGGTCGGCTTTGCAGTGGGGCTTGGCAACGTCGTGCTTCCGTTCAACCATCCGCTTTCCTTTGTGAGCGGCACCCTCGGCATGCTGTTGGTGGTGTTTGTCCTTGAGAAGTTGATGCATGAGTTCTACTGCAACTTGCCAGGCCCAGTTGTAACCGTCTTTGCTTCCATTTGGTTAAGAATATGTTTATTTTCCCCTGTTGGTTTTAAAGGGAATATATCACTACTGGAGTTATTTTTTTCCAAGGGACTTAAGCAAATGGAGGTTTGTGTTTGGGAATGTTTCAGAAGACAGGGGATGCCCTTCTTGTTCCGATGGAAAGCCACCGGGCTGAGGTAGTCTTGCTTTGCTGGAGGAGCGTTTGCGGAAGTTCAGCTTGAATGACGCGAAGTGCGCATGCTGCGACAACGATCACAAGGGTCCGTATGGTCAGGAAGTCAGATGTGACAGACACGTCCTTATTCAGGTTATGTGCCTCTGGTTTGGGTCGGAGGCGGAAATTGAATCGCACATCTCCACGATTGTGGCTGATGCGTTGAGGGAGAAGCTTCTGGGCAAGTTTCCCTTGCCCTACTGGATGATGGTGATGTGTCATCCGATTGTCCAATGGCATTGTGTTTTGCTTTGTGCTCTTCATTTCAATTACCATTATTCAAACAACCCGCGCAAGCCCACCCTTTTCTCGTGGCTGTTGTGTTCCAGCCACCCAGCGAGATGGTTCTCCTTATTATTATTTTTGGGGGGAGGGAGGTGGGGACATCCATCCAGGCAGCAAAAAACGGTGAGGACACGGGGACACACCTAGCCTGCAGTCTTGTCTTGCTTTACATGCGAGGCAGGCCCTTGCTTTTCAGAGAGCTAGGATGGAAGAAAAGCCACAGCTGGTCTGAGGTCAGATGCCTGTGCTGTGGGCTCCTCGCTCGGATTTGTGCTTTGCCGAACTCGGTGTGCAAGGATAGCAGTGTGGAGGGCATCACGCGATTTTTGTTCGAGCCAGTTGCATGTCCAGGATTTTTGAGATTGGTGTACCTGATTCAACAGATGTTTGGCACCCCGGTCACCCCCGGTAGATGATCAGCTCACCTCGCGAAAAAGAATCACCCCTGAAGGTTGCTACCCATGTTAATTTGCAGGGGTGTAAAACGTTGCTCTCACCTTTTTCCGCGCCGTCTCATCAATTTCAAGGCCTTTGCAGTCAACATCGGCTTGAACATCCTTGAACTTTCTATTTACCTAGGACCGGTTGTTGCATGTTGCCCCAGACAAGCCTTACAAGGGCCTTGCGGGCATCCATAGAGTCTCCCTCACATTGACCCATTCATGTTGCAACTTGCTTAAATACCCCTCAAGCTACTCCGGACCTGGCCGGTCCTCTCCGGTCCTTTCCTGTGTGGACACCGGTTTGTCAATCAGGGGGGAGGGCAGCCTTGAAGGGGAGTACCCTTTACGAGCTTGTCACACCTTGTTGCTTTTGTAAGCACATTGCAAGATT